AGACCTCCCCACTCTGCACAACTCCCTGACAGGAGGGGGGAGCTGGGGGGGGGTCGGGCTCTGCTCCCAGACAACAATCAGTAAGATAGGAGGGCTTGGTCTCCAGCTGTGCCAGGGGAGGTTTAGGTTGGATATTAGGAAGGAATTCTTTGCAGAGAGGGTGATCAGCCATTGGAATGGGCTGCCCAGGGAGGGGGTGGATTCTCCATCCCCGGAGGTTTTTGAGGTGAGACTGGATGTGTCATCAGCACCATGGTCTGGGAACTGTGGTGGTAGCAGATCAAGGGCTGGACTTGATGATCTCGGAGGTCCCTCCCAACTCAGCTGATCCTGTGATCCTGTGGTTCTCCCCAGCCCCTGGAATTCCCCCGGACTCACGTGCAGGATGTTCCTCACGTTGACCACGGTCAGGTTGTGCTGCTTGGCTCCGTCCTCCAAGGTGCGGTCCAGGGTGTCGTCCAGCTTGATGTCACAGGACAGGGGCCCCTCCTCCTCCTGGTTCTTCCCTTCCCTTTTCCTCTTGGTTGCCTTCCTCCTCCTCTTCCTCCTCTCCAGGTCCTCCCCGTCCTGCTCCTCTGAAAGCGAGCGGAGACGGGATCTAAACCCTCACCTGCCCCCGGCACCTCCCACAGGAGTTTAAAAATCATCCCAAACCAGGATCCTGCAGCTCCTGAGGCAGCAAAACTTCCCCCTGCTGATGGGAGGCCACCCAAATGGAAAGATGGAGAGAGCCACAAGAGCCAGGAAGCCTTTGGAATGATGGATTCAAACGCTGGCTGAGCCACGTCAAGGACGTGTGGCCGCCACCTCCTCAAGGCTGGTTTTACAGAACGGCCTCAGCAGCCTCTGTGTACCTTTTCCAGAGAAAAAGCTGCAAACCCCAGGCACCACATGGCAAGAACAGGAGGCAGCTTCCAGGATTTAAAGTGTTTTCCAACAGGCACTGCTTTGCTGGCTCGGGGAAGCAAGAATCATGACTTTCTCTGAAGGAAAAGCAGCGTTTTCAGGGACCAAAAATTGCTGATATCAACTCCAGGCAAGTTCCACTTGAACCACAGAGCCAAAAAAATGCTGCCCCTAAACAGCCCCCACCAGGGTGTTCACAATTCCAGAGCCTGTTCCTTGCCCAGTGGGATGAAAAGCCACTCACCAACCCTGGTGTTCTTCGGTGGCTTCGTGGTGGCAGGATTTCTTCCAGCCCCCTGCAGGGAGCTCCTCCCAGGAGACTCGGGGTTTTCAGTGGGATATGGATCTCTCTGGGAACTCACTTCCACCTCTGTGAACAGCTTGGGGATCTTCCCTGGGAACAGCACACACCAGGCCGTGGTCAGATATCCCAGAGCAAAGTTGAGACACAAAACTCAATCACGGTCCAAATACATCAAATCCAGCAAGAGTTTAAATACTTCAAATACATAAATACATTAAACCTGGCACAAGCAGCCCGTGGCAGTGACCCAGGTGGACTGAACAGCAGCAGCAGCTCCATCCTGCTGGGAACAGTCCCAGGCAAAGAGATCCCCTGGTGGTTCCTGCTGGTTCAGCCTCACTCCCCCCCACCAGCAGCTTTCTCAAACCCCCTCCTGTCACGTGAGGCAGCTGCAAAAACCCGATGGTTTGTTCAAAACGTGGTTGTTGTGCAAATGCAGCTGCCACAGCAGCCACCAGCTCACGGGGCAGGCACAGCCAGAGGGTTGTGGGTCAGGGAAACCCTTTCCCTCCTGCTCTCTGCAGGCTCACAACGTAACACAGCCCTGGAAAACTGGGAATCATCTCCTTCCACCCCCTTCTCCAGCCCCAGCTCAGCTCTCCCTCAGACCAGGAGCTCCCTGCAGGAGCAGGAGAGATGAAGGCAACAATTCCCTGAGAATCCTGGGATGGGGCAGGTTGGGATGGACCTCAGGGGGTCACCTGGTCCCACCTCCCTGCTCAGGATCATCCCAGAGCACGTGGGATGTGTCCAGGTGGCTCTGGAATATCTGCAGGGAGGGACACTGGGCAGCCTGGGCAGCGCTGGGGACAAGGTTTGGCTGTTCCATTGGGGTGGGATTCATGGAATGGCACTGGGTCACTGCCCAGGGAAGTTCTTCCTCGTGCCCAGGTGGAACTTCTGGGCATCAGTTTTGTGTCCTGTTTTTGGGCAGCCCCGAGCAGAGCCTGGTCCATCCCCTGCAGGCACTGACACGCCCTGGGGAGGTCCCCTCTCGGTGTCCCCTGGTCACAGAGATGCTCCAGCCCCTTCAGCATCCTCACAACCTCCCCTGGACCCGCTCCAGGAGCTCCATGGCCCTCCTGTCCTGAGGAGAACTGGCCCCACACTCCAGCTGTGCCTCCCCAGGGCTGAGGAACACGGGAGCAGTGCCCCTTTTTCACAGAATGGTTTGGGTTTGGAGGAACCTCAGCAGCTCACCCCATTCCACCCCCTGCCACCTTCCACTATCCCAGGTTGCTCCACCCCAGCTTTGGACATTCCCAGGGATCCAGGGGCAGCCAGAGCTTCCCTGGGTAACCTGTGCCAGGGCCTGCCCACCCTCCCAGGGAGGAATTCCTTCCTAATCTTTCATCTGGAGCAACTTTCTGTCACTTTGAAGCCCTTCCCCCTTGTCCTGGCACTCAGATGGGCTCACAGGGGCCACCAAAACCCAGCTGGAACCTGGAGCACCTTAAACCAGTAGGAAAACACAGTAAAACCCAGTAAAACCAGCTCTGGGCTGGCACAGAAAAGCAGGGCAGGGGGTTGATCCCAGAGGAGAGGAAAAGCCCCCAGCAGCCCCTCACTGCCCACACCCCCTCAGTGCTCTGGGTAGATCATTGCCCCACATCCCTGAGCCTGGAGACAAGCCAGGAAAAAAAATAACAGGATGAGGAATTTAGGGAAAGTGGGAACAGGCACTTATCTCAGGAGAAATTCCCCTCAGTTTGCCTCCCACGTCAGGAAATCATGGAATGCTTTGGGTGGGAAGGGGCATTAAAGGGACACCTTCACTCAGAGCAGCTTCTGCCCCAACCTGACTCTGGACAATTCCAGGGACTGGGGGGAAATGTTGGGAAGAGGGGAAGGTTTTTCACGCTGATTCGTAACAATTCCCAGGAAAATAAATAAATGAATAGACAAATAAATAGATAAATAACCAGTTAGATAGATAAATAACCAGTTAGATAGATAAATAAACAACCATATAGATCAATAACCAGATAGACAGACAGATAAATCAATAACCAGACAGATAAGTAAATCAATAACCAGACAGATAAATAAATCAATAACCAGATAAATAAACAAATTAATAACCAAAATTAATAAATAAATAACAGATAAATAATCAGATGAATAGATAATCAGATAAATAAATAAATAACCAGATAGATAGACAGATAAATAACCAGATAAATACATAAATAAATAACCAGATAGATGAATAAATAACCAGATAGATAAATCAATATCCAGACAGATAAATAACTAAACAGTCAGAAAAATAAACCAGGGATGGGGGGAAGCTTTGGGAAAGGGGTCCCATTTTCATGCTAAACTGTAACACTTCAGGAGGGAAATAAATAAAAATATATATACATAGATAGATAGATAGACAGATAAAATAATTAATTAATTAACTAATAACAGCCACCACAAACCCCCAGGCCCCAAGAACCCCCCTGGAACGTTCTGCCAGGGATGGGGAAGCTTTGGAGAAGGGGTCCATGTTCCTGCTAAACTGTAACACTTCAGGAGGGAAATAAATAAAAAGACAGACAGATAAATAAATAGATAGATAGGCAGATAGACAGATAGATAGATAGATAGGCAGATAGACAGATAGATAGATAGATAGATAGATTAATTAATTAATTAACTAATAACAGCCATCACAAACCCCCAGGACCCAAAGCCAACTCCCTTCCCGGTATCTTCCACCAGGGATGGGGGGAAGCTTTGGAGAAGGGGTCTGTTTTCATGGTAAACTGTAACACTTCAGGAGGGAAATAAATAAAAAGATAGATAGATAGATAGACAGATAGATTAATTAACTAACTAATAACAGCCACCACAAACCCCCAGGCCCCAAGAACCCCCCCGGAACGTTCTGCCAGGGATGGGGAAGCTTTGGAGAAGGGGTCTGTTTTCATGGTAAACTGTAACACTTCAGAGGGAAATAAATAAAAAGATGGATAGAGAGATAAATAGATAGATAGATACATAGAAAGAGAGAGAGAGAGAGATATAAATTAACTAATAACAGCCACCACAAACCCCCAGGATGCAAGAACAGCCCCCCACACTTCCCGGTACCTTCCACCAGGGATGGGGGGAAGCTTTGGGAAAGGGGGCCCGTTTTCACTTCAGGAGGGAAATAAACAAAACCATAGACAGACAGCTAGATAAACAGATAAAATAATTAATTAATTAACTAATAACAGCCCCCACAACCCCCCAGGCCCCAAGAACCCCCCCATTCCCGGTACCTTCCGCGGGGCTGGCGGGTCCCGCCGCCCCCTCCGCCCGGCCGGGGGCTTTCCTGGAGGGCTCCCCCTGCGCCTTCCCTGCCGCTCTCCCGGGCCCTCCTCCTCCTCCTCCTCCCGTTCCCGTTCCCGCTCCGCCGCCATCGCCGCCGTCCCCGGGGCCCGGCGGTTCCGCCTCCTCCGCCGCCGCCGCCGCCCGGCGCTTCTTGCAGGGCAGCATCTTCAGCGCCAGCGCCATGGCGGGGACGGGGCGGGGATCCCGGGATCCCGGCGGGGGTCC